CCCGGCCTCACCATCCAGGGTCAGCCGGCCATCCCACACACCACCAGCTACATTCTTGCACACCACCATCTTCACGTCCTCCAGGGCCTGCGGAGCCAAGGGGTGCCCGAAGCAGGATTTCTGCCTCCGAGAGAAAGTTGCTAGAAGTCAGCCAGCCACCCAGAGATGGCCCATTCCGTCACTAACGGCAGCAGAGACTCCCGGGGCTGGGCACCGAGGGGCAGGGCTGGGGCACACCTGGAAGGCGTTGAGCTCCTCGTCACTGAGTGCCTGGTCCAGGTCCTGATCCGAGAGCCTGAAGATGCGCGTCAGGGCCTGGGTGCATGCGGGCCTCAACTGCGGGGAAGCTGGCTCAGCACCCTCAGGCTGCCTGCGCCAACCCACCCTGTCACCCCAACCAACACCCCCGGGGCTCCTGGGGACCAGTGCATGAAGCCCCAAGCGATGGCCTACCTGCTTGGCCTCAGGGTCATAGAGGGGGGCTGTGGGGTGTAGGACTGCCTTCTGGGCGTAGTAAAACAGCTCCGAGATGTTCCTCAGGTTCTTGGCTGAACACTGGGAAAGTGGGAACAGACTCAGGACGCAGGCTGAGAATACAAGGAAATAAGGAGGCCCTGCCACGGGCCCTGCCTCTACCTCAGCAGCTCGGCTGGGACACACTCACCTCTACACAAGTCTCTATCTCGGGAAACTGGCTCATGATGGGGAGCACGGCTTCCATGGAGCTCCCCGACCGCAGGTCTGACTTGTTGCCCACTAGGATGATGGGCACCCTGGGTTGGAGGCCCATGGTCACCAGGGGCAGGGGAGCCTGAGGTCCCAGCCCCTTCCACATCCCCCTCATTACCTGGGCCCCCTCGTGGTCCCCCCATTCACCAGCGGGATCCATTTAGTTCGAATCTGCAAAGCAAAGCCTGGCTGTGAGGTGCGGCCGCCCGCTCAACACATGGCCCCCAGCCCAAGCTGGAGCCTGGCTCAGGGAGAACAAAAGGGGAGGTCAAGGCCAACCGAGGGCCCAAGTCACGCCACCGGAGAACAAAGCTGGTGGGAGACGGCAAGCAGCAGGCGCAGTCACATCTGTCTGACCCCAGCGGCTCCCAAACACCCACAAGGTCACTGCGGCCCAAGCCCAGGGTAGCCCCCGACGCAGGCCCTCTGCAGCGCTCCCCCCGGGAGGAAATGGCTCACACGGGGAGACATCCAGACCCTGTGGGGACGTGGGATCACAGGAGAGAGGCAGGTGATTCCTCTTGAGGCTCCCCAGAGTGCTGTGACAGGTGGCACTGGCCACAGGTTGGGTGAGGGTCCACCTGGGCCACCCTGTCTCTGCCGTTGGGGTCTGCACCAAGGAGAGGCCGCTGCTGACCAGGCTGGGCGCTGGGGGCTCACCTTCTCAATGGTGGCTTCCTCAGAGACGTCGTACACCACACACACCACGTTTGCCTGAGAGGACAGTGATAAGGCGCGGGTGACAGGGCTGCCGGCTCCCCACCAACAACCCTGACCACTCCACACCATCTCAAGGCTCCAGGGGGCCCCAGACACTCACAGGTAATGTGGGGCTGGCTCTGAGGCTGGGAAAGCCCAGCCTTCCCTGGACCCTGCCTCCAGCCTGGTGCTGACAGCGGCTGGTGAACCCTCAGAGAAGCCCCTTCCCCGCCCACTGCTGGTGCACAAACACCAGGGCCCAGCCGCACAGTTGTGCTCGGCAAGGCCCTCAGAGAAGAAGACTCAGGACAGATAGTGCCGCAGCTGCAACCTAGCACCCTGCAAGAGACCCAGATGCCACCTTGGCCCCTGCCTCTCTCCTCACTACAGTCTGGGTATGAAGGAGGACAGCAGTGAGGAGTGCTGCGGCAGGGTCTTCCCTGGGGGGCTGTGGCCTGTGCCCTTGCCTAGAGATGTCCCTGGCACACATGCTGATACTGTGAGCCCCGGGTGGGGGGTTGGAGCACGCAGCAGGGGGCGGTGGCGCACACTGAGCCACAGAAAGAGCGAACGCTGCTGCCGCCTGGGCAGGAGGGAGGATCGGCCCCTAAGGGCCCTGGTATCCCTGGAACGCCACGGGACTGGGTGGTGCCGGCTCCCAGCGGGGTGCGATGTGGGGGCCCCAACAACCCTCAGCACGGAGGTCACAGAATTATCAGGGCCAAGGACAGCCTGAGCACCTCCGTCCAATCCCCCGGCAGGCGAAGCCGATTAGGCCGAGCCCGCGCCCGGCCCCTCCCCCGGCCCGCGCCCCGCGGCACCTTGTGGATCTCCTCGCGCAGCTCCTCGTCCGTCTGCTCGGCTTCTAGGGAGAGGGAGAGACCCCACTGCAGACCCTGCAGGACCGCCGGGCCGGGCCCCGGGGACGCTGCGGCAGCTACCTGAGTAGTCCACAATGTGGGTGGGCACCTTCTCCGGGGTGACGTCCGCGGGGATCGTGATCTCCTCCGCGCGGGAAGGGACCTGCAAGGGACCCGCGCGCTCACCCGGGAGCCCCGGCCCGCACGCCCCGGCCCCCGCCCCCGCCCCCGCCCCCGCCCCCGCGGCGGGCGCGCCTCACCTCCTCGGGGAACTCCTCGCCCACCAGGGACAGGATCAGCGACGTCTTCCCCACCTGGGCTGCACCGGCCGAGGCGGGGAGGTCAGCGCGGGGCCCAAGGTCAAGGCGCCCCCCGACCCCCAAGACCCTCACCCCACGCGCCGGCCGACGCAATTCCGAGACTCCCGGCCCGGCGCCTACCCTCGCCCAGTAACAGGATGCGCACGTCCCGCCTCATGGTTGCTGCCCGGAGCCGCAGCCGACCCAGACCCCGACCCCGACCCCGACCCCGACCGAGTCCCCAGCCTTTTGCTGGGTCCCCGCGCCGGCCCGCACTTCCGGTGCTCGGACCCATACTTCCGGCCCCGCCCACGCAGCCATACCAGCGAGCCGGGCGGGCCAGAGTGGCCAGGCTGCGCGGCAGCGCCACCACGTGGACACGCCGGGCACTGCCGGCAGCGCAGGCTCCTGGAGCCCTGGCCAACCCTGGCTGGCCGACCCAACCATTGCTTCCAGGAGCCGCAGGGCCCTTGACAAGAAGCAGGTTTGGGGACGGGGCAGGGGCTGAGCGCAGGCCAAGAGTGACCACAGACTGCCAGTGCGACAATACAATAATGCAATAAATGCCCTTCTTTATTACAAGAGAGAAACATTAAAAACTCCTTAGGCAAAGGAACAACAGGTATCAAAATATTTTCAGGTTGCCAAATTCACAACAGCCTGGTCCAGGCGATCTACATGAAGTCCCGGCCTGTCCCAGCATGAGGCCTGGCTTCTCTGCCAAGCCTGTGTCCAGGTGCCTGGCGTGACCAGCTGTGACGCCCAGCACCACAGTCCCCACTGCATCTCAGCAGCTGGCCACCTCCCACACCAGGATCTCGTTGCGGGCTGCCGTGAAGAGCAGCCTGGCCGACGGTGTGAACCTGCACAGGTGTACTGCATTGTCGTGGCCAGCAAAGTCCTGGGTGGTCCCCGTGGCACAGTCTACCAGCCTCAGCATGCACTCTGTGGGCAGATGGCACAGGCGGGCCAGGGTCAGGCAGCACATGGAGGCTCCTCCAACCCACCAGGACTGTCCCACTGGGCGTGACGCTGGTCAGGGGAGCCAGTGCTGAAAGCGCTCCTGGCTGTGTTCTCCAGCACCCAGTGCCTGCTCCCACTGGGACTAGGGGGGTGCATGACGCTGCCACCCCACAACTGGGCTGGGCCTCCCCTTCAAAGTCCCTGCCACCCCTGCATTCAGGCCCTGTGCTGGGCACTGTGCCTGGTTCCTCATCTGCCTCATCATCTCCTGACCCCAGGACCCTCTCTAGGGCAGGTGTCCTCACCCCACCCCAGAGACCAGAAGCCTGGGGCACAGGTGAGGCACCTGTCTTGGAGCAGGGCACCAGGGAGCCCACCTGGCCCCCACCTAATACAGGCCCAAGTCTGCATCCACCAGCACTCACCAGCAAAGCCAATAGCCAAGAGGCGGGTGCTCAGGGACAGGCTCAGGGACATGGCAAAGAAGGGCAGTGGTATCTTCTCCACCACCTGTGGGCAGCCAGCATGAGGCTCCAGGCCTTTGGGCTCAGGGCTCAGCCAGTCCCCACCTACCACCCTGGATCCCAGGATCTCCTGGTGACACGTGGGGGGTGCGTGTACCTGCTTCTCGCAGAGGTTGTAGATAATCACCTCCTTGTACACACCAGGGCCCACATACATCAGCAGCGCCCCATCCCAGGGGCAGAAGGCAGCAAGGGAGGGCGGTAGCTGGCCCTGAGTCTGCAGAGGCATGGCGTGCTATGGCCGGGCACACGAGCACTGGCCCCACACACAGTGCCAGGAACGTGTCTTACCTCTGTGGCGGCAGGCGTTGGGAAACTCAACCAGTCCACCAGCTCACAGTGGTTCTGCAGCCAGTCGGAGGCCCAGACGCTGACCCGCTGGTCCCCACTGGCAACCAGCCATAGGTCTGTGCCCTCCACCCCTAAGTCTCCACACTGGGAGTGGGGTGGGTGTGGGCTGACGGTGCCTTCTGACAAGTGCTGACCCCCAGCACCCCGGCCCCCGCTCCCCCACAGCATCCCACCCCCACTCCCCCCCTCCCTTTAAGCACCCCATTCCCCACTCCCAGCACTCCAGCCTCCACTCCCCCAGTACCCCAGCCCCCACTCCCCCCAGCACCCCAGCCCCCCGCTCCCCCCCAGCACTCCAGACCCCACTCCCCAGTTCTTGGGGCTGCTTTACCTCTTTGTGGGTGACATCGATAGTAGAGATCGGGGCACCCTGGTGGTCACTCAGCACACGGAAGGTCATCCCTGTGCAGGGGCGGCTCACCGCCACGAGCCCATCCTTGTCTCCGGAGAGGACAGTCTGACCTTGGACCACACCATCACCCTGTAAGCCCCAGCCTGGAGACTGGACCTGGGCCAGGTCAGGACGGCACCATCCCCCACACACCCAACTCCTCACCATCGGTAGAGAAGGCAACAGCAGTCAGCGCCGCCGTGTGGGGGTGCATCTTGAGCTCCATGGCTGTGCGGGAGACGCTGAAGATGCGCAGCGAGCCGTCACCGTAGCCCGCCGCCAGCCGCTGCTGCTTGGGGCGGCCACAGCACGGGGGGCTCCATGCGAGGCAGAGGCAACTCTGTGGACCCACGGTAGGGAACTTCAGCACTCTTAGGGATCCTGGGGACACACGCCCAGGCCAGAGGGAGAAGGCAGCTACCCCGCCCACACCGGGCCCCTGTCCCTAGCCTGGGCGCTCCCCACACACCTGGTTCAGCACCTGGAACTGGATCACCAGCTCCATGCTGGCCAAGGACCAGACCCGCACACTCCCATCCTCACTGCACGTGGCGCAATGCGACTCCCCGGGGCTGAAGACCACCTCGTTCACCTGGGGAAACCGTGGCTAGGCTGGGGGTGTTGGCCACCCTCCCTGAGCCCTCTGGCCCCTGGGCAGGGGAAAGGGACACAGGCATTTCCCATTCCAGCTCCCAGGGCCAGGCTGTCCAAACCAGAGCATCTGCCTCTGGCCCCGGGCCACTCCACGCAGCGAAAAGCAGTGCTGGCCTCCCGTGGGTGTCCCTGTGCTAGACCTGGGTGAGTCCAAACCAAATAAGCCCACTAGCCAGCCAAAGTCAGTAGGACACGGAGGAGAAAGCTGTTGTGATGGAACCTCAAACACAGCCACGTGGTCGCGTGTCTCTAGCAGGCTGCCACGCGTCGGTTGCGTTCCTCCTCCCAAGGTTGCTGCCCTTTCTCCCGAATCAGGGGAAAAGGCAGACGCCACTGAGGGCTAGGACTGCTGGGGTGGCAGAAAGGAGACACAGGTGCCACCCACCAGTGAGGGGAAGCGACACAGCCTGGCACTGAACGTGAACGCTAAGTGCAGATGGGAACACGATACACTTCACTATAAAATCAGCTCAGTTCAGCCCAGCAGCGAGGGCCTGCACGGCTCGCAGCGGGACCTCTCAGGCCGTTTCCCTGGGAGGGGCCCTGGGCGCTGCAAAGAAACAGCAAACTCCAGGCCTGGGCAGAACCCCACAGGCAGAGCCTGGAACGCCTTGCACTTCCACATCACAGGGAGGCCACCAAGTGACCACGGGCTCAGCTCACAGACTCAGTCACAGGGAGGCCGGTGACCACGGGCTCAGGTCAGACTCAGTCACAGGGAGACCAGTGACCACGGGCTCCGGTCACAGACTCAGTCACAGGGAGACCAGTGACCACGGGCTCCGGTCACAGACTCAGTCACAGGGAGACCAGTGACCACGGGCTCCGATCACAGACTCAGTCACAGGGAGACCAGTGACCACGGGCTCTGGTCACAGACTCAGTTACAGGGAGACCAGTGACCATGGGCCCAGGCCACGGACTCAGGACCCGAATTTCCCGGCCCTGGTTGGGGGACACGCCTGTGGTCTACCCACACAACGCAACAGTACTTGGCCACAAAGAGGAATAACTGGCTTGGCCAAGCAGTGGCCGGGATGACCCTGGAAACCACGCTTGTGGAGAGAATCCAGACAAGACAGCTCCTACAGAACATCCAGAATGGGCAAATCCAGACACAGAAAGCCACTCAGTGATTGCCAGGGGCTGGGGAGGCGGGAAACGGACACACACAGGGTTGCCTCCTGGGGCGATGAAATGCCCTGAGCCAGCGGTGGGGACTGCGGCACAGCTGCGGACCGTGCTGAAACCCACCGAGCGAAGTGGACAGAGCTCATGCTATGACAGCCGGACCTCGACTAACCCGTTGCCAGAAAGGTAAAGGACCCTCACCAGTCTCAAACTCAACTTTCTTCGCTGGCTACTGTCATTTTCAAATACTAAGTACAGGTTTCTTAAGACAGAAGCAAGGGGCAACTGGAAGATGGGGCTCGGCATGAAGGAACCACCAACCCCGTGGGCCTGGCCGACCACACGCAGAACTCAGACCCACAGGACAAAGCCCATGGCCACAGCTGCTGGACCAACGCCATGCCAGAAGCCTGGTCCAGGAGGGGAAGGGCCGGCACCTGTCCTGCTGCCTCAGTTCAGCCCGGGAGGTCCCAGAGAGATCAGTGCTGTGCGCTTCTTGGAGAAAGCTCCAGAAGCAGGACGCCGCGGACCAGAGCTGGGCCTTACAGGAGTGGACCCAGCACTGACCACAACCTGACCCAGACCAGAGCAGAACTGAACCCAGGTGCTGCCTGGGTCAGGGAACAATCCCATGAGGCCACGTCAGCAAAGCCCGTCTATGAGGTGCTGGGACTGACAATGTGGGCTTTTTGAATCTTTTTCCTTTGAGACGGAGTCTTGCTCTGTCGCCCAGGCTGGAGTGCTATGGTATGATCTTGACTCAAGGCAACCTCCGCCTCCTAGGTTCAAGCGATTCTCCTGGCACCTCCCAAGTAGCTGGGATCACAGGCAGGCACCACCACACCTGGCTAATATTTGTATTTGTAGTAGAGATGGGGTTTCACCATGTTGGCCAGGCTGGTCTTGAACTCTTGACCTTAGGTGATCCATCCGCCGCCTCGGCCTCCCAAAATGCTGGGATTACAGGCGTGAGCCACCACATCCAGACTGATATGGTTTCTTTGATAATTACAAAAAAACCAAAAAACAAAAACCACGAAAAGCAATATCGGCGAAAGGAAGATTCGAGGACACCCTCGAGGCCTGCCAGGCGGCTCCCTGGTACAGCCACAACTGGGTTGGCTTTGAGGGATGTGCACACCCAAGACCTGCCACCCGGGAACCCCAAGGTGAACGCTGTAAGCCAGAGGCAGCAGGACTTGGAATATCATCATCCCGGCTGATGGAGATGCAGGCGACAGGCAGTGAGGGCACCAGGTTCGGCTGCC